CCCCTCTGCTTTCTGCACTAAAATGGAAGTCACTGTTGCATTCACTTCGAATCATGTATGTGCCTACATGGGGGTCAACTCCATTGAACTCAAGTGGAGCCTACTTCTGATTGGCAAGAGCAGAATGCTTTCAGTTTAGGAACTTCTTCTGCTGAAACCTCAAAGCAAGAGTTGCAGTGTGTCCCTTATGGTAATGCTGTTCTCCAGACATAATTGAATTAGACTTCTAATATACCCCTGTACCAATTAGGATGGTGGCGGCTCCGGAGCTTCTTTGATGTACCTGTTCCTGTGGTGCAAGTCCAGTAATGAGAGCTTTTGTGCAGTGACTATGTGCATGGAAAGTGTGATGCTTCAAAACCCAATGGTCTAAAGGCCTTTGCTTTCGTTAGGACTAAGTGGTTGCAATCTGGATTGCCATTCAGTTTTACGGCTGCACTCAAGCAGAACATTGACAAAAAAGGATGCCTTACTCTCCCTGTGCTTCTACCTTTGATTCTGTTGCTACTGCTAAGGCATAGCAGCAGCTGCGGAAATGAGATAGAGCTCTTTAGTGTATTTGAAGTACCATATAGTACCAAAGTAATGTACTTCAACTTCCATGCACATTCTAGAAGGGCTGCGGATTCTTTTGTTAAAGTGGAATAATAGGAGGCTGGCACTTGATGCTTTCAGAGTGTTTCAGACTTCTGTTAAGTGACTTCTCTTTTTTTGGCCTCCCTTTTAGGTTTTGTGAATTCAAATGCCAGGGGCTTAGTTATTTCTTTTTTCATGGTTGCATTACTGAGCAGTAAGGTGTAGGAGATGGCTCTGCCAGCAATTATTTAGAAACACAGAGATAAGATTAAAACTAAGCAACAAAGAAAAGTGTAGCCCCTTTTCCCCCAAGGTATGGCAGTCGTCTCATTTATTGGAATACCCACATAGAGCTAGGATTCTGTTTCTTATTGTACATGCCTTGAGATAAAACACATTTATTCTCAGTAGATATTTATATATGTCTGTCTGCCTGCTTACATGCATGAACACACACACACATGTATGCACATACGGTGAATGAAGCGCCCTTGGTTTATCTTGTAAGCAAGCACATTTATTGTGAGACAAATGTTTGCTGTCTCAAATAGTAGAAATAAAATTAATTCTTGCTGCAACTCCTCTGAAATGAGAATTTATCATCTGTTGTGGAACAATTAGATTAATCCGTATTAAAACCGTGTTATAATATAGGCAGTATCTGTAGAATATCAGTATTAGTGTACACACAAATTGAATTATGCCAATAAAACTTCATCACACCCAGTGCTTCAAGGACAAAAGAAGGATGTCAAAAGACAAACAGGAATATTACTCAGATGAAAAGTAGTATTCTGGGAAAAAAGGAAATGCTAAAGGCCCTGTAAAAAATCTGTGTCATCTTCTCCTTTGGAATCTCTGTGCAAATACCATTAAATAATTTCAAAATAATATTATTAAGGATGAAAATTTAAAGATATTGAGTCCTCCTGTAGTACTTGTTGTTGTTATTTAGTCATTAAGTTGTGTCTGACTCTTTGTGAGCCCATGGATCAGAGCACGCCAGGCCCTCCTGTCTTCCACTGCCTCCTGGAGTTGGGTCAAATTCATGTTGGTAGCTCTCCTCTTTCACCCTCATTACGACGTTCCTTAATTCCTCCTCACTTTGTGCCATCAGAGTGGTTGTTGTTGTTTAGTCGTTTAGTCGTGTCCGATTCTTCGTGACCCCATGGACCAGAGCACGCCAGGCCCTCCTGTCTTCTACTGCCTTCCGGAGTTGTGTCAGGTTCATGTTGGTTGCTTCGCAGACACTGTCCAGCCATCTCATCCTTGGTCGTGTTTGTTCTCTTTGCAGTCCAGGGAATTCTCAAGAGTCTCCTCCAGCACCACAATTCAAAAGCCTCAATTCTTTGGTGGTTCCTTCTTTATGGTCCAGCTCGTCACTTCCATACATCGCTACTGGAAAAACCATAGCTTTGCTATGCAGACCTTTGTCAGCAAGGTGATGTCTCTGCTTTTTAAGATGCTGTCCAGGTTTGTCATCGCTTCGCTCCCAAGAAGCAATCTTTGGGATTACGATGTTGACTGATCTTTTCCAATCCTCTGGCCACTTTTCCAAACTTGCTGGCATATTGAGTACAGCACCTTAACAGTGTCTTCTTTTAAGATTTTAAATAGTTTTAAGATTTTAACTACTGGAATGGCATCACCTCCACTGGCCTTGTTGTTAGCCATGCTTTCTAAGGCCCACTTGACTTCGCTCTCCAGGATGTCTGGCTCAAGTTCAGCAACCACACTATCTGGGTTATCCAGGACATCCAGAGCTTTCTGATATAACTCTTCTGTGTATTCTTGCCACCTCTTCTTGACGTGATCTGCTTCTGTGAGGTCCCTCCCATTTTTGTCGTTTATCATGTCCATCTTTGCACAAAATGTTCCTTTAATATATCCAATTTTCTTGAATAGATCTTTGGTTTTTCCCTTTTTATTATTTTCCTCTATATCTTTACACTGTTCATTTAAGGAGGCCCTCTTGTCTCCCCTTGCTATTCTTTGGAAGTCAGCATTCAATTTTCTGTAACTTTCACTATCTCCCTTGCATTTTCTTTCCCTTCTCTTCTCTGCTATTAGTAAGGCCTCACAGGAAAGACACTTTGCTTTCTTGCATTTCCTTTTCTTTCCGATGGTTTTTGTTGCTGCCTCCTGTACAATGTTACGAGTCGTTCTTCAGGCACTCTGTTCACCAAATCTAGTTCATTAAATTTGTCACTCACTTGCACTGTGTATTCATAATGGATTTGTTTTAGATTATACCTGACTAGCCCTGTGGTTTTTCCTACTTTCTTCAGTTTAAGCTTGAATTCTGCTATAAGAAGCTAATGATCAGAGCCACAATCAGCTCCAGGTCTTGTTTTTGCTGACTGTATAGAGCTTCTCCATCTTTGGCTGCAGAGAATATAATCAATCTGATTTTGGTATTGCCCATCTGGTGGTGTCCATGTGTAGAGTCGCCTCTTGTGTTGTTGGAAAAGAGTGTTTGTGATGACCAGCTTATTCTCTTGACAAAACTCTATTAGCCTTTGCCCTGCTTCGTTTTGAACTCCAAGGTCAAACTTTTCTGTTGTTCCTTTTATCTCTTGACTCCCTACTTTAGCATTCCAATCCCCTATAATGGGAAGAACATATTTCTTTGGTGTCAGTTCTAGAAGGTGTTATAAGTCTTCATAGAAATGGTCAATTTCAGCCTCTTCAGCATCGGTGGTTGGTGCATAAACGTGGATTACTGTGAAGTTGAAAAGTCTGCCTTGGATTCGTATTGAAATCATTCTATCATTTTTGAGATTGTATCCCAGTACAGCTTTTCCCACTCTCTTGTTGATTGTGAGGGCTACTTCATTTCTCCTACGGGATTCTTCTTTAGTTCACTGACGCCCAAGATGTCACCGTTTATTCTTGCCATCTCCTGTTTGACATTCCAGGTTCCTATGCAGTATTTTTCTTTCCAGCATCGGACTTTCCTTTCAATTCCAAGCAGATCTGCACCTGAGTGTCCTTTCAGCTTTGGCCCAACCACTTCATTAGCTCTGGAGTTGCTTGAAAACACAGCACACCAGTCAGAGAAAGTACAGCACCCACCCAGCTGAAAGCTCCTTCTGCTGTAAGGGATCTCAGAGGATCAAGACATGACTGCGTAATATGTTTCCTGTATGGTAGATCTAGCCAAATTCCAAGCAGATCTGCACCTGAGTGACCTTTCAGCTTTGGCCCAACCACTTCATTAGCTCTGGAGTTGCTTGAAAACACAGCACACCAGTCAGAGAAAGTACAGCACCCACCCAGCTGAAAGCTCCTTCTGCTGTAAGGGATCTCAGAGGATCAAGACATGACTGCGTAATATGTTTCCTGTATGGTAGATCTAGCCTAGTCCACTGGTATCCAGTGGGAGTATTTATGGGTCAAATCATTTCCACTCATCCGCCCAGTAAAACATTTTTGAAGGTATTAGAAGGATGTGCAGTGAAGGAACCCCAGGCACCCTCAGAGACTGTGCATTTCATTGGTGTGACTGTAGTGCTGAAAAAAGATCCCCTCCTTCAAACTGGTTCACCATCTTAGTTGTTCTCAGGGATGGATTTGTAAGTAGAATATTGGGGTTGGGGGAAGGAACTAATGGAGGTGCCTGTCAAAATGTCAGAAATAAGGGCGGGCAATTTTGCTTGGTCCGTGCACCTAATCTGTTCTAGAGGAGTTGTGTCCTGACCTCCTTAGGTTGTGTGTTTCTGTGCTCCCCTATTTGTCTGTTGAAAAAGCTCTGGACCACATTTTGTGCATCAGAGAAGGCTGTACAAGGAGGAAATGAAGCCAGTCTCAGAGCTATTGCTGGAGAAAAGTTGGATTTCTTTTTATTCTTCTTGTACCTGGAGGCACATCACGGCTGTTCTTACTTTGAGTTTGGCAGCTCTGAATAATGATGTTATGCTGCTCCAGAAAGTTTTCCAAGATTCTTTACCAGGATATTTTCCTTCCTTTACTTATTTTCCCATGAGTTTTATTTGAATACCCAGGTATATCTGCACTTTTCATTTCCCGTTACATGGCTAAAGCCTTCTGCATTTTGTTTATTTTATGACTGATGTCAATTTCATGCATTTGTTTTACTACCTCATTGGTCATCTTTTGATCCCAGAAATGTACATGTCATTTAGAGTTACATTTCAATGGATTCTCTCTCTCTCTCTTTTTTACAGTAGCCTGTGTCTAAATTTCACAGTTCAGTGCCATACTAAACAAACCAGGAATATAGATCACAATACAATGCATGTTTTCAAAGCCAGTGTGATTTTTTTTTTAAGTTGGATTTATCCTTATCCAATTGTATCTGGGTTACATGTGATATATTATTAATATTGTTATATTTTAAAATTTTAAGCTCTACGTATACTTGTTCACTGACCTATTTTCTGTTCTGTTTATTGTCTCTTAAGCCTGTGCTACATCAAAAGGGGGAGCGGAAGATGAAGGTGAAGCAGAAGCTGGCTGGATCGAAGGTGCTGCCATTCTGCTCTCTGTCATTTGTGTGGTACTGGTCACTGCCTTTAATGACTGGAGCAAAGAGAAGCAGTTCCGTGGACTTCAGAGCCGTATTGAGCAAGAACAGAAATTTACTGTAGTTCGAGGTGGACAAGTAATTCAGATCCCAGTAGCAGAGATAGTAGTTGGTGATATTGCACAAATCAAGTATGGTAAGTCCACTAGTATACCTGTTGGAAGATATGTGCCTGAGTCATTAGTTTTTGCTTTATTACTTGTTGAAAAGCAACATAGAAATAGTGGTGGTGATGTCACAAACTAATCTAAAGATTAATTTCTAATGCACAGCATAGAAAAATAAAATATAACACATGGTATTAATAATTCGAATGGAGTGAATAAAAACATCTTCACTTGTTTTCTGTCGTTTTAATACCAGCATCCATTCCTTGGAGGCAATTAGTAATCAACACTGAACAGTCCAACAATTAGAACATATTTCTCACCCACCTTAATGGAGAGGTTTAATCCACAAGTTTATTTCTTGTATACCGATGGATTGGGTCCCTTTATTAACATGAATTTGCCAATTCCACATGTAGAACAGATCCATCTCATTCTTATTTTACAGAGTTAATAGCATACATCTGTAGTCTTGTCCAAGGTTAAAATCAATGACGTTCAGTCAGGTCTGGACAGTATATTTCAACTTTATATTTTAAGAGTAACTGTGTATTATTTTTGGGGACCAAATACATGAAAAAACAATTATTGCCTTCTCTTAATAGAATATCTCAAGTTTATGTTTTTATAGTGTTTACAGCCCACCCACTTATCCTGAAAAAGGCTGAGGCAAAACAGGTTATTAAACTGATAATAATAAACATAACAAAACATAGTGGTCGTTTTAGAAGAGGGAGCCATATTAGTTTGTGCTAGCAAATCAGGCAAAAAGAAAAGAAAAAAGAGACAAAAACATATTGTCACCTTCAAAACTAACTGCTATATTTTAATGTGAGTTTTCATGTCCATAAAAGCTCAAATTAAAATATAGCAGTTAGTCTTTAAGGTCTTTTTTTTCTTGTTTTGTTTTTGCTTAAAGTACTAAAACATGATCCACATTTCAGTCCTAATTTTCCTTGGATATATTTGACATTGTGAACTGGAATTTATCAATATCATACTGGTATCTGGGAAAATTCAGGAAATACTGGCCTTGTGGATGAAAAAAAAATAGTAGCATCGTAGTTTAATTTTGATAACTCAGATGTATTGAAATATTCATTTTTTGATTGTGGAAATGTGTTTGAGGATTCACACATTTTAGAAAAAACATTATCATCATCAATAATAATCATGTGCCATCAAGTAAATGCTAACTTATGGTGACCAAAACACTAAGTTTATTTTATTTTATTCCATACTATTAGGTGACCTCCTGCCTTCTGATGGGGTGTATATTCAAGGAAATGACCTAAAAATTGATGAAAGTTCTTTAACTGGAGAGTCAGATCAAGTCCGTAAATCCATTGACAAAGATCCAATGCTGCTTTCGGGTGAGTTTTGTGATTGAAATTAGCTGCAGCTAATCAAGAACTATTATCTTTTTACATTCTTCCTTCAAAGAGTTGATATCCATGCCTTTCGTATTCAAAAAATTCATAGCATGAAGTTTTCCATGAATTTCCAGTATATTTCTTGACATTACCAAACCTACGAACTCTTGTGGTGGACTTGTAGTGAGGATTCTGATGCTGATCTATTTTGTATTGGCAGATTCTTTTCTTAAATATGCAACCACTTTTTATCTTTTAAAGAGTTCTTGCTTGGTTTCGTTTATGCTTACTTCCTGGTGAACTGCAGGATGAAATTATACCACACAGTAATGGCCTAGGATCAGATACTCACAATTTCGTTTTAATTTATAGCTGAACTTTTAGCTCTTGTCACGGGAACACATATATTATTTGTATGATTCAGAGCATTGTAGATGTCTCATAAAATGAGCAACTTTCCTCACCTCCAGCCAAAAGTGAGACAAAGAGTTCTTTTTCCTCCCCTGAAGTCTTTGTAATTTGCCTGTATGGTTTCTAGTGTATTTTCTCTGTGATAAGCAAAGTGTGCATATACAGTACATACACACAGAGAGACAAGCATGCACGCACACACACACACAGAGCGTGTAAGAGAGCAAAAATAGGAGGACTGGTTGATTGTTAAGAAAGATGCAAACCACCTATTTAGTGCTTTAGGTTCTGAATCAAAATAGTTGACAGCCTAGTTTGGGCCGATTCCTTCCATTTCACAAATAACTTTAATTGCATAGTTTTGCACAGACATTTTTATCTGACACAGCTTTCTTATCAGTGCAAGATCATATTGAGCATGTCATGAAATTGTTCACCATCACTGCTGATAATTTTTTTCCTTGTAGGCAAGGACAGTAATTTTTTAAATTCCTCACTCTAGCCTTTAGGACTGAAACAACCATTTACGTTCCCATTTTGGATCTTTAAACTGGCCAGATAATTATTACTATGCTTTAATTAACATTATCTTACACATTATACATATTCGGATTCATTTCTGGCAACAGAAGAGGTATAATAGGAAGGAGACATCTCAGTGTCTTTGATTAGTTCACTGAACAGTTGTTTCTGTGCGACTCCAATTGTATTATGTATTTTTTTAAAAAAATTAACTTTTTTCAAATATTCTCCTGTTATTTAATTTTTTTCTTGTGTATGTTTTCTGAGGGGGAAAGGGGAAATGGATATGAGAATGACTCCTGCTTAATTATTAGATTGGTTCATGATAAAGAAAATGGAAGCAATCTGACCAGCATGGTTAAGATTGCTGAAGGGGCTTTGGGAAATGGTGTAAGAGTCACTTTTAGCAGTAGAAATGGAGGTATACTAGCAGGATAGCCCTTAGACTAGTAGCCCCCAGCTAACCTTCTTGCAGGGAGCTTTCCTGTGATATGTTTTTCACCAGCAGAGCACAAGGAAGCAGAGCCTGTTGGAGGTGGCAGAGACATAGCAAGCTAAGCACATTCATTTCCCCAGCATGCCCTAGGAGGAGGTGCAGATCTGTGCTGATCTTGTGACTGATATGGTTAAATCTTTCCAATTTCAGTTAAAGAGAGGAGGGAACTTCTCACCATGGAAGGAAAATGTCATGGAAGAGAGTATAGAGGTTGTTAGCAGAACTCTCTCTCCATCCTGTGCATCAGTGTAAGGCAGAACAGCTGTGCCCAAACATAATCCTATGTATATTTTTTTTCTGGCAGGAGGGAAAGTCCTGTTTAATTCAGTGGGCTTTTATTCTAAACAGGACTGCCCTCTAAAACAGTAGTCCCGAACCTTTTCCAAACGACGGACTGGTTGGGGAGCCCCGGGGGCAGTGTCTGTGCGTGGGGGGTGGGTCACCTGTATGCAGGGGTGGGACACCCATACATGCACATATGGGTGGGCAGGGGCACACATGCGTGAGTGGGTGGGGCAACCGTACAGATGTGTAGGTGGGTGGATCACCTATGTGTGCATGTGTGTGTGGGCGGGGCATCCGTGCATGCATGTGGGGGCCATGCATGCTTGTGTGCATGCAGGGGGAGCATACATTTAAGGGGGTGGGAGATATGTCTCTGTGGCCTGGTCCTGCCAAGGCCACGGTCTGTTACCAGGAGTTGGGGACCCTGGCTCTAAATGACAGACTTACAATAAATTTAGTACTGTTAAAACCCTTTTCATAAAAACACTATTTGCTAAAGTCAGAATCCAGCAGGTGCTTTTTTTGAACTGATATTACTCCTTCACCATTGTTTGCATGGCCAGAAAAGTGATAATTGGAAAAGTCCACACATATTTTGGAGAGTGAGTAAGTCTGTTTCTGGCTAAGTGGCCTCTTTGACCCCTTTCAAAAGCAGGTAATTAGACACGTAGCCTTTGAAAGGCATGCTGTCTAATACAGGTATAACTAGAGGTTGCCGAAGTATGGTTGCAGCTGGTGTGCAAGAGAAATACGAAGTCCTGGCTTAATCTTCTTCCACATATCAACTTGACTGCAACTTTTAAACCTCAAATCAAAGAGAAACAAAAGTGGCTTCATGTGGCTGCTCTGGCAAGAATATGGTTTCTGCAAACAGCCTCTTATAGTAGCCTCTTCTATGATGTGCTTTGAAAAACAGCATGTGGCAACGTATCATAGGAGGAAAACAAAATCCAAATGGAAAAAAAAACCCTAGGTATGTGGAATTTTAAGATACTGAATGCTGAGTCAACATGTCTTTAAGAATACTGTTGGCTCACAGCAGCTCCCCTGTGCTTTTTTACAGAGCTAGTATTGCTAGCCAACAGGACAGCAAGAGCTGGGAGAACAGATTTTTAGGGCTTAATAATAAATTTCGGTGTTTTGCACCATGCCGGGGATTACACAGCATAGATCACTATATGTCAACACAGAGATCTGTTCCAAATTATTAGCCAGGGAAACTTGAATAAAGTGACTGCCACTGATAATCCCGACTCGTGCAACCTCTGTCTAAGTGATCCATTCTATTACAAGTCGGTTGTCCTCTTTTTATTTTTAAATCCCTACTCCCTATTGGAAATCCCCATCTGAGGGTGATTCCTCCATCTGAAGAATGAAAGTACATTGCTTAGTGAATTCATCCTTATGTGTTTATAGACATATATTAAAGTGGTACTGTTTTAAAATGGAACCTGTCAATTTTTGTGTTCCCGCCAGTGAGTTATAAAGCCCAACACTTCCTTCCAAATTTATAGGGCCTTGAAAGTGAAAGCACTACAGTTGATTGCTCTGAACTGTTCTTTCCTGTTTCTTTCTCTATTTTAAAATGGAGTGTTTTCTTTCAATTCCAGTACAGCTTTGGCTTCAAGTTTTACTATCATAGTTCCTTCTTCTGATTTATGAGCACTTGGCCATCTGTGCTTCCATGCTACTAGTGTTTTGGGTGATTGCATTCTCATCAGAATTAATGCTTTGGCTGCTACAGATTTTGAAGTGCCAAATAGGACAAGCTAAATGTATCAGGCATTTATGTTTTGTGTTTATTCTTTCTAGTTCAGTTTTTTTAATGAGAAAAACTGTAGTCGTTTTATTTGATCTTCAGGATCATTTGTTCATTCAAGCCATTGGCTCCCTGCCTCACTCATTGCAAATACTACAAGGGGGTGCTGACAAGTATTTTTATACTGTTCTGTTTTATTTTGTAAGCCGCCCCGAGTAGACATGGTCTAGAGGGGCGGTGTAAAAATCAAATCAAATCAAATCAAATCAATCAATCAATCAATCAATCAATCAATCAATCAATCAATCAATAAAATAAATTGAGCCTTACCCAGAAAAAAATTGAGCTATAAAGCTGTAACTGCCACACTATTCTACATATTCCCCAGGAAGTCAACACACTTGTGACATCTGTCCTGCAGCTTCTTAAGTCCCTGCAAGTGAAATCCTTCCAATTGCTGGTGTAACCACTCATCTGCAGCATTTGTTGCCTCCAGAACACTCCCAAATTGTTGTCCCTTTAGGTGTTTCTTGTGTTTGGGGAACAGATGAACCAGGGCAGGAGAATAGGGTGGATGGGGCATCACTTGAAAGCCTAAGGAGGTCAGTTTTGCCACTGTTTCACCTGCAGTGTGTGGCGAGGGGTTGTCATGCAACAAGATGACACCTTTGGAGAGCTTTCCTCAACATTTTTTCCTTGATTTTTGCTTCAGCTTCGTCAATAAAGCACAGTAATATTTTGCATTCATGGTTGAACCCTGTTGGTGGTAGTCCACCAGCAGAATTCCCTTCTTATCTCAAAAGGAACTTGATTATAGTCCTATGCTGTACCACATCGAACTTTTCTGGAGGTGCTGCCATGTTCACTGAAAATGAAAAGTTAAAATCATAGGTAGTTGATTTCTGCACAATTGAATATAGACAAATTGGCCAATACACCCTGCAATGTGCAGTTTTCTAACTCAATTTTTATGGGTAAGGCTCAATACTTTTCAGCACCCCTCACAGCATGAATCTGGGAGGAGGGGACATACTGCAGATCAGTGTGAGAATGTGTACAGTGCATGCCCAAAGTCACCTGGGTTGGGCCACTCATGCAAGAGATTTAATTTGAATTTTTGAAAAAATTGGAGTACTTTTAATTTGTTACTGATTATTTTAATCTGCTGTAAATTATCTTGGGAGCTCTGATGGACAGAAAAATGATGAACAAATGATTCCACTTAAATAACTTTCCACATATTACAGAAAAGTGCCTTAGAGCATCTTAACAAGTACTCATACTGTGTTTAAATCTGTTGATATCGAAGAAGTCAGTGAAGCTGATTTACAGCCAGAGTTCCTGTGGGTGGAACTTGACTCACACAGTACTCTTTCTGGACAAAAAGGGGTTGTGGGTTTCATGTAGCCCTCATTTTCCCTGTGGTTCCCCACCCCCCTTGAAAAATCTGAAAGAAGAGAACACTCCTTGAAACAATATGGGGGTGGCAATGGGAGATGCAGGGGGAGGGGGGAATTGAAATCTCCT